CCAGTGTGTGACTTTGGTCAGGGTTCAAAGAAAAAGCTATTCAACTTCCCAAGCCATAGTTTCCTTGCCATAGAATTAGGGAGAGTGTTCTGGGGCTTACGTAAGATAATGCATCTAAAGTCAACATGGAGAAGTCAATATGTAGAAGGGGCCATGAATATTGGCATCGTTGTTTTTGCTTAGGCTCTTATACTTTCGTTTCTTCACAGCAAAATTGGCCAGAGATGACCAAATTCACGTTCTCAAGCAGCACAGACGTAAAGAACTGGAAACACGGCAGAAATTGTATCGGTGAGTTACGTTATCAGACAGTGGTCTTGAGATCATGCTTTCTTTCTGTCTCAAGTACATGGTATTCATATAGCTCTTGGCCCTTCACTGCTGGCAAGTCAACACAACATTAGCTCCCTGCAGTAACTCCTTACATCCGCAAGCTTCGCTTTATCTACTTCTCTAGGGAGAGATGGTGGTGGGTGATGGGGATTTTGAAATCAACCATAGTGGTATTTAGAGGAATGAGACAACAAAACCCTGAGTTTATCTTAATATCTTCTCATTTCCCTTCGAAGGGTTTCAAAAACCCTTCACTATTTCAAAAACATTTTATCGTGGTAAAAATAAATGTAGGAAGGCATTTGCCAATTCACCATTTTTCACATGTACAGTTCAATGGCATAGATTCTATTCACCAAGTTGTGCAACTATCATCACCATCCATTTCCGAATTATTCTACCATTATTCAAAGAAACTCAGTACCTCTAAACAAAGCTGCCTCCTTTCCCTCTTCCTGCCTCTAGTAAGCACAATAAAATTAGGGTTCTCTATATTTGCTTATTTTAGATCAGTGTGCTCACACAATGTTTGTCCTTTTGTGATTGACATATTTCACTCAACATATTTTCAAGAAAATCTACTTCATTTATTTTTCTTATTTTAAATTTTAAGGTGCAAATGGTTTTTTGTTACATTCCAAGGGTCTTCTTGGGTTGTATTTTACTTTTGTTCTTTTGTCAAGTATACACCTATGTTTTTATTTTGATTTTGTTTTTTGAATTTTTGTGTTTTCTACATAATCTTGAGTTTTCTAATGATTGAATGAATATTTAAAAGACTTAAATTAAGATTGAGAAAATAAATTCTTATTTAATTCCATTCCTTTTAACATGTAGAAGAGAGGAGCTTTCCTGGGTAAACACACCCATCATTTATTATGTCTTCACACAAGAAAACACTTAAAAAGAAAGACTTTCTTAACCTAATAAAAGCAAGGATGTATACCCTTACCACATATATTTAAACTTGTAATGGAGGCTTTAGTAAGGGAAATTAGACAACAAAAGGAATTACAAAACATTCAAATTGAAGAAAAACAAGCAAAGCTATATACATTTAAAGAGAATATCATATTTAATAATGAAAATACTGAGGAAATTACTAAAATAGAATTAGGATTAATAAATACACATAGTAAAGGATACAAGATTATAATAAAATTAATCAATTCTTTTTCTAAATACTAGCAATAAACATCTGAAAATGAAAACTTAAAAAAATTATATTACCATAGAACCATAAGGAAATAAAATTTTATAAATAAATTTTAAAAGAGCCCAAGACTATACACTAATAATTACAAAACATGTAGAAATAAATTAAACATCCAACAAACTGAAATACATTCTAGATTTATTAATCAAAAACTTAATAGAGAGCTCACATTTCCCTGTATAAAAATGTACTACTCAGCAGATTTAACCAAGACATTGTGATACTGGCATAACGATATAGATCAAAATATACAACTGAGAACCCCAAAATAAAATTTTATATTTGTGGTCAGCTAATTTTTTATTAAGGCTCCAAGACAATTAATTCAGCAGGAAAAGAACAGTCTTTTAACATAGTGCTGGGACAACTGCGTATCCACATACCAAGAGTGACATTGCATCCTGTCTTGGTCTTGGGCTTCTCTAGTGACGAGCAAAACCAGTGACATACATATCTATAGATAGATCTATCTCTCTCACTCTCTCTCTCTCTCGATCTATCTATCTATATTATATATATATATACTATATATCATTATAAGCCTCTATACACACACATGCACTATAGACTCTCTTTATATATACTATAAATACATATCTTTATATATATACACACACACAGAACTAAGTGTCTCCAATTATTTTGTCTTAGGTCAAATCATGGAGGATTACTAGGTATTAGCTGCCAAACCATGGAGATTGCTGACCCAGACAAATTAACACAAAACCTGACTAGTATAGACCCCCTACCTCACACAAAATGGTAAAAATAACACAATTAATTATTGATCTAAATATGATCCAAAATTTTAATATCTAATATTAAAAATTGTAGAAGAAAACCTAGGAGTAAGTCTTCA